TGTCCCTGGGCCTAGGGTTTAGAGGGTGGGATGACCTGCTGGAAAAACAGTCACTCACCTCTTGGTCCAATTGGAGCTGGTGGAGTCTGTGTCTCAGGGAGACGCTGAGGTCTCAGGCAATGAGTGGTTTGGGGGACTGAGTGGGGTTTGTAGATTACAGGTTCCAATGGGGGGTTTGGCAGGCCTGTCTGCAGGAGTCTTGCCTGCTGGCCTGCAAGTGGGGCTGTGACAGTGGCATTTTTAAGACAGAGCAATTATGTTCATAGCAATGAAAGTCTGTGTTGTGTGCTGAGTATCAAAAAATAAATTTTCACAAGACTCTATCCTCAAACTGATGCTAAATGGTACAATAAATGCTCTATTATCAACTCTCTATGCACCCAAATGCCCTGAATATAGAAAAAAAGTGGTTTCCCATGTTTGATTTGACTCAACTCTGATTCTCCTCTAAAACTGAAAGGCTTGACTTTGATGACTTGCACTCAGTAGATAAAACCCTTCTAAAGTTTTGTGGCCAGCCATGCCTTGGAACTTCCCTGCTGAAATGAGGACACCTGGGCAAGTGTTCATCTTTCCTCACAGTTCAACACTTACGTTTCTCTGTGTCCTAGGGACAGAGTACAAGAACAGCCAGAGTCAGGATTTTTTGTCTTACTCAAGAAGAGAGAACACTGTTGTGTGTTGTATGCAGAAAATAAAAAAAAAATCCAGTTTTTGTGTGTATTCTTATCAGGCTAACCATTCTAGAGATTGACTAGAAACACAATTAAGTTTCAGCAGCAATTTTGATATGTATGTTAGAACTAAGTTTTAATATAAATTATAGATTGTATTTTTTATCAAAATTTTTATATTAACATTTCAGGAAAATGTTATATTATAACAATATAAAAGTCTTTAGAGAAGAATTGAATTTGTAGTCAAGAGTAAAAATTGAATTGTGTTTTTTTTTAGTATTAAATTAGCTTGTTGTAAGCAATTATTTTTTAAAATGTCTTCTAGGACAGATTATTATTTTGCCACAGACAACTGCAGGCAGATACAAAGTAAACAAACTGAAAGCAAAGTGAAAGTGAGCAAAGTAGAATATAGATTCATCGTGAGGTCTGCTTTGCTGTTGTTTTGACATTTGACCCAGTTTACTCAGAAAGTTGAGCCAGGTTAACCTTTCAGGATGAAAAATAAGGTATTTTCCTACTGTCTCATCAATGGACTAATGAATTCTTTCCAACAGAAATAATACAAAATCTTCACTGGCTGAAATAACCAATTACTGCACACCACCATTCTGCAAACATGGTACTCTGGTTATTCTTTATCTTGGTGTAAAGTGATGTGCTGTCAAGTTGCTCATCTCCAGAGTGCAGTGAAAAATAGGTGCAGTGTCTTGAGTACGGAAGGGGCCAGTGTGGATAGAGTCTCCTCCATGAGCTCATGTCATGGGCCTTACTGCTAGTAAAGGAAACTCTATGGCATCATTACTCTGTTTGTGGAAGACTTTTTCATTTTAGTAAGGTTCTACTCTTTTTTTTTAATTTATTTTAATTTATTTTGCAATACAATTCAGTTCTACATATCAGCCACGGATTCCCTTGTTCTCCCCCCTCCCGTCCCCCTCACCTTCCCCCCAAACCCCCCCATTCCCATCTCCTCCAGGGCAAAGCCTTCCCCACAGACTGAGGTCAACCCGGTAGACTCAGTCCAGGTAGGTCTAGTCCCCTCCTCCCAGGCCGAGCCAAACAATCCTGCATAGGCCCCAGGTTTCAAACAGCCAACTCATGCAATGAGCACAAGATCTGGTCCCACTGCCTGGATGCCTCCCAAACAGATCAAGCCAATCAACTGTCTCACCCATTCGAAGGGCCTGATCCAGTGGGGACCCCTCAGCCATTGGTTCATAGTTCATGTGTTTCCATTCATTTGGCTATTTGTCCCTGTGCTTTATCCAACCTTGGTCTCAACAATTCTCGCTCATATAAACCCTCCTCATTCTCGCTAATTGGACTCCCAGAGATCCACCTGGGGCCTAGTCATGGATCCCTGCATCCAGATCCCTCAGTAGTTGGATGAGTTTTCTAGCACAACAATTAGGGTGTTTGGCCATCCCATCACCAGAGTAGGTCAGTTCGGGCTGTCTCTCGACCATTGCCAGCAGTCTGTTGTGTGGGTATCTTTGTGGATTTCTGTGGGCCTCTCTAGCACTTTGCTTCTTCCTATTCTCATGTGGTCTTCATTTACCATGGTCTCCTATTCCTTGTTCTCCCTCTCTGTTGTTGATCCAGCTGGGATCTCCCGCTCCCCCAAGCTCTCTTTCCCTCAACCCTCGCCTTTCATTACCCCCACTCATGTCCAGGCTGTTCATGTAGATCTCATTCCATTTCTCCCTCATTGGGTGATCCCTGTGACTTTCTTGGGGTCCTGTTTTCCAGGTAGCCTCCCTGGTGATGTGAGTAGCAGACAAGTCATCCTTGTTTCATGTCTAGTATGCTGCTATGAGTGAGTACATACCATGTTTGTCTTTCTGAGTCTGGGTTACCTCACTCAGGATGATTTTTTCTAGATCCATCCATTTGTCTGCAAACCTCATGATGCCATTGTTTTTCTCTGCTGAGTAGTATCTGATATCCAGAATATATAAGGAATTCAAGAAATGAGACATCAAAATGCCCAACAGTCCAATTAAGAAATGGGCTATAGAACTAAACAGAGAATTCTCAACAGAGGAAACTAAAATGGCCGAAAGACATTTAAGGAATTGCTCAACATCCCTAATCATCAGGGAAATGCAAATCAAAACAACTCTGAGATACCACCTTACGCCTGTCAGAATGGCTAAGATCAAAAACACTGAAGACACCTTATGCTGGAGAGGATGTGGAGCTAGGGGAACTCTCCTCCACTGCTGGTGGGAATGCAAGCTTGTACAACCACTTTGGAAATCAATATGGCACTTTCTTAGAAAATTGGGAATCAATCTCCCCCAAGATCCAGCTATACCACTCTTGGGCATATACCCAAGAAATGCTCAACCACACCATAAGAGCACTTGTTCAGCTATGTTCATATCAGCATTGTTTGTAATAGCCAGAACATGGAAACAACCCAGATGCCCTTCAACTGAAGAATGGATAAACAAAATGTGGTACATATACACAATGGAATACTACTCAGCAGAGAAAAACAATGGCATCATGAGGTTTGCAGACAAATGGATGGATCTAGAAAAAATCATCCTGAGTGAGGTAACCCAGACTCAGAAAGACAAACATGGTATGTACTCACTCATAGCAGCATACTAGACATGAAACAAGGATGACTTGTCTGCTACTCACATCACCAGGGAGGCTACCTGGAAAACAGGACCCCAAGAAAGTCACAGGGATCACCCAATGAGGGAGAAATGGAATGAGATCTACATGAACAGCCTGGACATGAGTGGGGGTAATGAAAGGCGAGGGTTGAGGGAAAGAGAGCTTGGGGGAGCGGGAGATCCCAGCTGGATCAACAACAGAGAGGGAGAACAAGGAATAGGAGACCATGGTAAATGAAGACCACATGAGAATAGGAAGAAGCAAAGTGCTAGAGAGGCCCACAGAAATCCACAAAGATACCCACACAACAGACTGCTGGCAATGGTCGAGAGACAGCCCGAACTGACCTACTCTGGTGATGGGATGGCCAAACACCCTAATTGTTGTGCTAGAAAACTCATCCAACTACTGAGGGATCTGGATGCAGGGATCCATGACTAGGCCCCGGGTGGATCTCTGGGAGTCCAATTAGCGAGAATGAGGAGGGTTTATATGAGCGAGAATTGTTGAGACCAAGGTTGGATAAAGCACAGGGACAAATAGCCAAATGAATGGAAACACATGAACTATGAACCAATGGCTGAGGGGTCCCCACTGGATCAGGCCCTCTGAATGGGTGAGACAGTTGATTGGCTTGATCTGTTTGGGAGGCATCCAGGCAGTGGGACCAGATCTTGTGCTCATTGCATGAGTTGGCTGTTTGAAACCTGGGGCCTATGCAGGATTGTTTGGCTCGGCCTGGGAGGAGGGGACTAGACCTACCTGGACTGAGTCTACCGGGTTGACCTCAGTCTGTGGGGAAGGCTTTGCCCTGGAGGAGATGGGAATGGGGGGGTTTGGGGGGAAGGTGAGGGGGACGGGAGGGGGGAGAACAAGGGAATCCGTGGCTGATATGTAGAACTGAATTGTATTGCAAAATAAATTAAAAAAAATTAAAAAAAAGAAAAAAAGTAGATGTTACAAATGAAACAAACAACATAAACCAAATGAGATAAGATACTTGAGAACTTTTTTTCAGAAATATTTGTCTATTTTCCCTTTAAAATCCTTTATGTATGAACTGTGAGTGTGTTTGCACATGTCCATGATCTGAATTTTTGTTTTTCAGAATGTCCACGCTGATGTGTGAGCAAGGATGCACAGGTGCTTCAGCATATCTGCAGATGTGAACTGACTACCTGGAGTGCTGATCTTCCCTGGCCCCTTTGGTCCAACAGAATCTCTTCTGTGCTTCTGTGTCTGCCCAGCTAGCTGTGCTGTAAGAAAACAGGTCTTCTCCTGTCTCCCTGTCCCATCTCACCTGAAGAGAACCTTGAATGTAGAGGTGGCCAACCACACCCCACTGTCACGTGCTTTCTGGAGATTCCAACTCAGGTTTGGACACTGTCACTGCTAGCGCTTCACCCACAGAGTCAACATCTCTGGCCCTGCTTGAGGATTTCCTGTGAGAGTCTACCAAATGCTGAAAACATAATCTCATGCACTCGAAATCCTGTTGCATTCACATCTCTCCATTATGTCCTAAAATTATCTGAGAGTCCAAGTTTCATAAAGTAACCATTTCTTATGATGGAAAATGATTTAGTATTTTCTTAATGTGCTTCTTCAAATTTCTACAGAGCTCAGAAAAGATGAGGATCTGAACTCAAACAAGTTTTGAGGAAACTTATCTGAGTAAACTAAGTTAAAGGTTATTTTGACAAGACAGTCAGATGGCAGGAAGGAACGAGACAACACTCATCACAGGAGGTTCTGTTACCACAGCAAAGTGGATCCGTGGAAGCAAACGGCTGAGGACATGGACAAGGGGAAGGGACGTTCTCTGTGTTGCTCAGTGCTCTAGACCTCAGACACCTGTGCACCAGCACCGCCTTACTTTACTGGAGAGCTGCAGTCTCAGTTTTGTGTGGCTGACCCAGGCACAATGGGAAGCACTTCTACACAAGTCATTTCCAAGTCATGGACCTGTGGTGACTCACCTGGGCTTTTCACCACCTTAGTCTCCCCAGGAGTGTCTGCTGAAGGGGTGGGGGTTATCTCCTCGAAGGCTTCCTGTGGGCCACACACCACTGTTTGTTTCACAGGTGTGCTTCCTCCTGAAGGCTCTTCAGCCTCTCTAGGTGTTGGTGTCAGGCTGGGGCCCACCTTTCCACGACTCACAAGTCTGTGTAGAAGAGAGCTGAATTTGGGGAAGTCTCGGGAGTTTTGTCCATGATTTTTTCTATGCTTCCAGAACGCCTTGGTTTTTGCCTCTTCCTCTTTTCTTTTCTTCTACGGAAAGAAAAGCAGATTTAGGTTACGTCTTCAAATCCCAGAAGAAAAAGCCTTTCCAGCAAAAAAGATTTTCAAAGTATAGGTCTGACATCTTAGCATAGGGATCATGGAGCAGCAGTTCTATGGAGAACAGCCACCACCACCTTAGTCAGTTTCTGTATAGCCTTCTTCAGTAACAACCAAGTCTCAATATTCTCAGAGTCCTACTGCACTTTGTGTGTGTGTGTGTGTGTGTGTGTGTGTGTGTGTGTGTGTGTGTGTGAGTGTGTGTGTTGGCTCATCTGGATAAAGTGCATGTGAGTTCAATTGTGTGTGGAGCCTATCCATTGCATCACAGACTCACTGAAACAACAACACAACACAACCCCAGGGCACAGGCTGAGCAGGTGACACACAATCCTCCTTCCTCCATGCTCACACACTGACCTTATCTAGGTAGCCTTCATGCTCCTTATAATGATTTCTTCGGAGTGTGAATTTAAGGCTCTCAGCTTTTTCAAAAATGTAATTTATAATCTGCAATACAAAACAGAAATGAAGAATTAGAACAGTTCTAATGTCAGAAAAGAGAATAAGAAAACAAGTGGGGATAGGCAGCAGTATCTCATGCATGACTTGAACCCCATTTCCTGCCATCCCTCTCCTCTGTACTGCTATGCTGAGGCAGCATCAGCTCCCATCATACCCAGGGTCATGATCTGTTGCTTTTTTCTAAGTAGTTCACTGATGTTCTGGAGATTTTAGATCAGTCACATAGACAATGAAAACTCACCTTGTTGATTTTGGATCTTATTCGAGCTGAAAGACACTTTTTCGGGCCTTTTCTGAGTTTCTCCATAAAGAGTCTAAAGGAATAAGCAGAGTGACTAAGATGGACAAAAAGTTACAAGTATCAAAATGAGGCCCTGAAGAAATTCAGGGTTTGAGAAGTTCATGGAGTGAGTAAAGGCACACCCTGAAATCCCACATCCCCTTATCCCCCAGTGCCTGGAGAGAGAAAAGTCTTCACTCTTCTATCTACTGGTACATTCAGCAAACTTCAGCTATCAAGAAGTATAAAACAACCTCTGGAGGCATCACAATCCCTGACTTCAAGCTCTACTATACAGCTACAATAATAAAAACATCTTGATACTGGCATAAAAACATGTGGACCGTGGAACTGAACTGAAGACCCTGACATTAATCCACACTCCTATGAACATATGATTTTCAACAAAGAAGCCAAAACTGTACAGTGGAAAAAAAGAAAGCATCTTCAACAAATGGTGCTGGCATAACTAGATGTCAACATGTAGAAGACTGCAAATAGATCCATATCTGTCAACGTGCACAAAACTTAAGTCCAAGTGGATCAAAGACCTCAACATATATCCAGCTACTCTGAACCTGAAAGAAGAAAGTAGGTTGTCTCGAACACATTGGCACTGGAGATCTCTTCCTAAATATAACACCAGTAGCACAGACAATGAGAGCAACAATTAACCAATGTGACCTCTTGAAACTGAGAAGCTTTTGTAGGGCAAAGGACATGGTCAACAAGACAAAACAACAGCCTACAGAATGGGAAAAGGTCTTCACCAACCCCACATCTGACAGAGGGCTGATATCCAGAACATATAAAGAACTCAAGAAATTAGATATCAAAATAACCAATAGTCCAATTAAAAAATGGGCTATAGAGCTAAACAGAGAATTCTCAATAGAAGAAGCTCAAATGGCTGAAAGACATTTAAGGAATTGCTCAACATTCTTAATCATCAGGGAAATGCAAATCAAAATGCCTCTGAGATATCCATCTTACCCCCGTCAGAATGGCTAAGATCAAAAACACTAAAGACAGCTTATGTTGGAGAGGATGTGGAGTAAGGGGAACACTCCTACACTGTCGGTGGGAATGCAAACTGGTACAGCCACTTTGGAAATCGTTATGGTGCTTTTTAAAAATTGGCTATCAACCTCCCTCAAGACCCAGCTATAGCACTCCTGGGCGTATACCCAAGGAATGCTCCATCATATCACAAGGACACATGCTCATCTATGTTCAAAGCAGCATTATTTGTAATAGCCAGAATGTGGAAACAACCTAGATGCCATTCAACTGAAGAATGGATAAATAAAATGTGGTACATATACACAATGGAGTACTACTCAGCGGAGAAAAACAATGACTTCATGAGGCTTGCAGGCAAATGGATGGAACTAGAAAACATCATCCTGAGTGAGGTAACCCAGACTCAGAAAGAAAAACCTGGTATGTACTCACTCATAAGTGGATACTAGATGTAAATTTAAGGATAACCAGACTGCAACTGACAACTCCAGGGAGGCTACCTAGTAAAGAGGACATTAGGAAAGACACAAGGATCACCCAATGACAGAGAAATGGATGAGATCTACATGAGCAAACTGGGAATGGGGGGGTGGTAATGGAGGGCAAGGGTCAGGGGGAAGAGAGCTTCGGGGAGCAGGAGGTCCCAGCTGGATCAGAAACACAGTGGGAGAAGAAGGAAAAAAATAACATGATAAATAAAGACCCCGTGGGAATAGGAAGAAGCAGAGTGCTAGAGAGTTCCCAGAAATCCACAAAGATGCCTCCACTATAGACTACTGGAATGGTCGAGAGAGTGCCTCAGCTGACCTACAATGGTGATCTCAGGGCTAAATATGACTTGTGAAACCTTTACCATCATTCCCTTCCTCAAACACACAATGTTCTTGTCATTAAAACTATAGGAGTCATTCCCTGGGGACAGCTCTGCAATCTTACTCTGCCTACCCAAGTATGGTGAACATCTCAGGGACTGTGCTGAGCCACTCCAACACTAGGTGGTCCACAGCCCAGTCCTCTGATGGCTGTGTAGCTACAGGAAAGGCTAACCTCTTTGCTATACCAATCAATAGGCTACAGGATGTAGAGAAGAGGAATCTGTCTCTGCCACACACAGCAATAAGCCTACGACTGGCTGCCTGGGTAGAGATAGAGCACTCAAAACACTCACCAGTGCAGACACATCTTGTTCATCTGTCAATTCTTTTGTCTAAAAGCTGGGCCCTGTGGACACAACCTAAAGAACTCTCCTACTCATTAAATCCCTTAGATGTGATACCACCAACTCTGGTCCTCATGTCTTTGAACAGTAAGGAAAAGCATGTGTCAGATCTGCCAGAGAAATCTGTCATCTGATTAAAAGATGGCTTTTTCGAGTTCCATATGGTCTGCAAGGGTAAGAAGCATGAATAGGAGGATAGGATGAGTGAGGGATCAGTCATGGGAAAGGAAGTGGAAAACTGCAGGTTCTCACGTTGAAAATTTGTGATACATCACAAGTGCTTCTTCTGTGAGGCCTTGATTTAGCAGGACTTCTGCTTTTATCTGATAGGTCTTCAGTTCAAGGTAAGATTTCCAGGGAATGTTATTATTGATGTAAATATTCTTCTCAAGAGAGCTTAAAAGTTGGAACTGCTCTTGGGTCAGAAGAGTAGCATTGTTATGTCTGCGAATGGTGCTCCAGATCTAAGAAAAAGAGAAGATGGGGAATATCAAAATGCATCTCCTGCCATCCTGTCATTCCAGCAGTCTAGAACACACAAACATACACATGCACACGTGCACACGCACACACACACACACACACACACACACACACACACACACACACACACATTCATCTCCCTAATGAAATTAGAGTAAATAAAACACCACATTGTTGATTCAGCTCAATAAATGTATGAACAAACCCAGCCTGGGATCCTCTTACTACAGTAGTAAAGAGGTAGAGTTGGGAATAGGGATGTCTGTGTCCTTTGAAAACAATGTGAAGGAGTTCTTGATTAGCATTGGACCTAAGGAACAGACCTTACACACCACCTATTCACTAGAAGATTTGCACTAGAAGACATACGTAGCTATGAGTGGTTATGCACACATCAGAGGATTGTGCTTAAGCATAAACCCAGCAGTTAACAACACGGGCCTCTCCTGATGTTGCCAAGGCAATTAGAGAGCACCCAAGCTTGGAGGAAACCCTACTCATGCCTCCAACAATGCAATCCCAGCTAGAAGCAAAAGGATTTGTGATGAGGTGCCCAAAGTGATTTAATTAGTATTTAGGACACTCAAGTCTCCAAGAGCCTTTGTGAGACAATGAGGCAGAAAAACTCAGTTCCTCCTATTTAAAGATTCCAGGAACTAAGGCTCAGAAGCAGCAGAAAAACAAAAAAAAAACCTTTGGGAACTGTGATCTCCGTGGACCACAGCATTGCATAAGCCTTTCTTGAACCTTTCTTGGCCGTCAGTGTCTTTGAGAGCAGAAGTGTAATGTAATTCTAGAGACAAACTGCTCACACTATTGACCTGCTTTCTGTGATCACACTTCTGATGAAAGACAAAGTAAGACATGTCCACCAGGGAGAAAAAAAAGTGAGATTCACTAGTTTAAAGATAGAAAAGGGCACCAGGCTTTTACATTTGCTCCATATGATTACATACAAATGACCTCTCTTTTCAGCAGCAATGAGACTTACCTTCTTTGGAGCTCCAGCAATGAAAGGTCCTTTAATATCTGGACAGCTCTGATGGTCTGTGAGCCAAGGTGTGAGAATATCACCTGTTAGCAGATACAAGTAGTTAGGAAAGGAGCTACTTTGCTTCTCCAATAATCAATATTAGTTTATGTTAATTTACATATTGCTAGCTCACTGACCATGATGGTCATGGAGATACAGGCTTTAATCCTGCAATTTCATGGCTGAGATAGTAGTTACAACCTGAATTCTATTTTAATTTAAAAACTGGGATTAAATAAAATTTTTCAAGAGTTTACAAAGGAGATCAATTCAAGATGACAGTGGCTGCTGGCATCTACAGGCGCATGGAGCAGCTCTAAGGAGCCTGAGAGACCCAAGGAGGGTCAGATTGGAGATAGGGTAGCAGAGGATGAATCTGAGAGAGCACAGAATCTCAAAAACAACTAAAATATGGTAGGTCGTATGGGAAGATGCTTTTAAGAAGTGGTCTCATGAAATTGAAAAAAGAAGAATAGCAGAGCAGATTCCATACATGGGCCAGAGATAAGTGAACCTACAGCTGCTGAAGCTCACACTAATGGTGATGGAGAATGGTTCATTTTCTGGATCGGGTTTCCTCAAAAAGCCTCCAGATACTGAGCTGTAGCTGGAGGCCATGTTGGTGTCCATAAACCATGCTGCCACCAGAAACCATATGGAAGTCAATGAGCTGTGCTGCCACTGGCTGTTCCCGGTAAGGAAGATTCTTTTGCAGTGGTAACAATGACTGTAGCCTCATAGTTGAGAATGAGAAACCTATCACAGAAGACTTTTCCCACCTTCAAATAAAAAAGGAAGCAGTCTAGACAGTAAGCCACTGATGAGAGTCCTTAAATTGTTATAAAGATGCTGAAATGTAGCTCTTTTCAGTTGATGTCTTCCAGCAGGAGATGTGGCTGTTGAGTTTGGGGAAGGACTCAGTTATTTTAAAGGGGCTGGCCAATGAGATTTTAACCATGAACCAACGACTACGTGGAAAACACAAATTAGAATTTATGTATATTTTTTCTTCTTTTGGGGAGGCACAGGGTGGGAGAATGCCCCTGGAAGGAATGGGAAGCTATTTTGATCAGGTGCATTATATAACATTGCCAAATAATCAGTAAAAATATGTTAGAAAAAAAGTACAATGAATAGAAAAGATTCCCTTAAAACTCTACAGGGATTTATTTTTAGGGCATGCTCTCCAGGAACTCGTTATGCCACAGAGGGTGCTAGCCATGAACTAGTGTTTACTCAGCTATCTCAGCTCCCAAGTGCTCAGGGGACACTCCTGAATAAGCAGTCCTGTCCCTGAACTACTTTTAGAGAGTTTCTTTGGGGACCACAGCAGGAGACACAGTTGCTCATGTGCCCTAGACAGTCCCAATTCTCTACCCTGAAGGTCCTGTCCTGAGGGTTGCTCACTGATCTCTAGGTAGGACACAGCTGCCTATCCAGCCAGCTCCTCCAAGGCAACCCTACTCATGGATGAGTGGCAGATGTGGCCACCAGTTCCTCTCACATCCCAACACTACTGCTCAACAGCACTAACATGGAAATGCTAACGTGGAAAACTGAGTGGAGGTTGATGCTGCTGCAGTGGAGCATCTTGGCTCTGAGTGTGCCTATCTACACACCTGGCTCTTTCCCTGCTTCTGTGGAAATGCTCTCAGGAACTACTTGAGTATTTTGTCTACACTGAGCTCATAAACACTTAACACCTCAGTGAGCCCAGAGCCCAGTCTGTCAGTTATTCCACTGTGGAATGTAAAGATCCATTTAGTGAGAGAGGAAATGTTCTGTCCAAAATCATAACCCCACATATATCAGGGAAAAGATTTTAGTTAGGAAAACAGCTTCTAGTTCAGTATTCTACCCATGAATCCACACTTTCTGGACTTGTCAAAATGTGTGGGAAAATTGAATGAAAGAAATGTTTCAATTTCTTTACTTACCAGACATTGTTGGGAAGATAATAAAAACACAGTTATAAGAATCAGATAAAGAGACAAAAACACTGTCTGGATTCAGAAACAAAAAACCCACATGTCCAGGGTCAGAGATACTGGACACTGAGGAAAATTAAATTTGTCAGCATCATGAAGACCAAAAGACCATTCAGGTACTGGTTGGCTAAGAGGTAGAGTGATGTCATAAAGATACACTGGTACCCTAGTCAGACTTCTTGAAAAAAAGAGCAAATAAATTAGAGATGCAGACCTGAGTTTTGTTGGATTCATTTCTGTTCTTTGTACTTCTATGATTCCTTACGATCTGCAAGTCTGTACTCTAGTGAAGACAATGACTGTGAAGATGAAGAAGCAGCTTCAGTTTGAAAGCTGATCCTGAAGGCACATAGGCTCTGCCACATATTCAACAATTCATGTGTTCTCCAGAGGTCAGAGAAATAAAGGACCCAGCACTTTCTCTCAGTCCTTTCTAACTGAGCTAGCAGTGTGTGCAGAAAGAATTCTATTTTCTTATTTTTTTCAGGAATAAGTTTGTCTTTGTGACTGAAGCTGGCTTGAGATTCACCATTTATCCTTGATTTGCCAACAATGAGCATCAGTCCTCCAGCTTCAGCCTCCTGGGTGCTGAGATTTCACCTATGAGCCCAGACACTCAGCTCAGAATTGTTATGATATATCTATAGCATGCTTATTTTCATATTTTCTCTTTCTTTTTTTAGAGACATGGTTTCTCTGTGTAGTTTTGGTGCCTGTCCTGAATCAAACTCTGTAGAGCAGGCTGGACTCGAACTCACAGAGATCCACCTGCCTCTACCTCCCAAGTGCTGGGATTAAAAGCGTGCACCACCACCCAGTTCATTTTCATAATTGTTAAGCATCACCAGCATTCAAGAAAACAGCAGAGAAAAAACAAACACAAAAGGTTCCTTTCCTGACACGTTTGCCGTCCTAGTTACACATTTTCCCAGCCTCAGTTTACTTCCTGGTCTACTAACCTACATGTTCACTAAATCCGTCTCTGTTTGCCCCATGCTGAGCAAATTACTCAATCACCAGAGAAATTTATTATTCAATGAAGTCTTTTGGCTCCCTTCAGCATTCAGTCCCATAAATCCTATGTTACCATGGTTAAGACCTCCAAGTTCCATGCTCTCCCTTTCCTCCATTCTATTTTATCCCCCACCACTGCATCTTTCTCTTTTCTTGACTATCTCCAGGTCCAGGTGGCCTGTTCTTTTTTGTAAAAAGCCCCAAAGTGCTCTTCCAATAGCTTCAGCCTCCCTGCCCTGTGTTTCTTCCTCCTCTCTAGTTCTCTTTTAACTAGACAGAAGACTCCAAACATTGGGAATGCTGATTTTTAAAACTCCATTGGTTTTATTGTATTTCTTCAGGAATGGTATTTAACACCCAGGCTATCAGTAAAGTCACTGTGCAGCTAGAGACAGCCATGGTCTCCTTGATTCTTCTGCCTCTGTCTCCCAAGGGCATAGATTGCAGGGGTATGGCACCATGCTCTGACTAATCACTTTAGGAGTTTGTATGGAGTCTGGGCCAGGGTTGTACAGCTATCTGTAAACTGCACAAAACATGGGTGAGGACCTTTATTATCAGGAAGGTACATGTCATTGTCCCAGTGTGCAGGTGCCAGAGAGAGCACAGCTGCTTCTGTTGTTCACTGTAACAAACAGTCCTGCTTTAGCAGGGACAGCAGACTTTCCTCTCCCCCACTGGTTTAGGACACATGTGAGGACACAGAACAGGGAGGGACATCTGCCTAGCCAGAAAAGGTCAGCTCATCTCAGCTGCAAATGGAACACTGCCAGACACACTCTCGAGTTCCCTCGTATTTCACCACTATTTTTGACCAGCACCAACAGTGAAGAATCATTGTGGAAAACTGTGTGGAGGGGAGTGTCTTGGCCCTCAGTTCTCCACATTACATACCCAGCTCTCTCTCTCTGCTTCAGCTGAAACAGTCCCAGAAACTCTGATTTTCTTCTCTATGTCTTGCTCCTAAACACTCAATACCTCAGAGAACCCTGAGCCCTGCCAGCCGGTTATCTCACCAAGGAAGGTGAAGGAACATTCACTGAGAGGATGAGGAAATATTCTGTCCAAATCTCAACCCTAGGGAATGTCAAAGATGAGACCACGTTAGGGCGCCAACCTGTTGTTCACCACTTTCCCCTTTATTCCACATTGTTTTGATGCTTCCCAATTTAGTGAGCTGTCCAATTAAACAAACATTAAAGTTTCTTTTCCTACCTGACATCTTCAAGTCAGGAACAAAACAGGAGTAGGATCTGGATAGAGGGATGAGGACAAAACAGGAGTAGGATCTGGATAGAGGGATGGGGACAAAACAGGAGTAGGATCTGGGTAAAGGGATGGGGACAAAACACGAGTAGGATCTGGGTAATGGGATGGGGACAAAACAGGAGTAGGATCTGGATAGAGGGATGGGGACAAAACAGGAGTAGGATCTGGGTAAAGGGATGGGGACAAAACACGAGTAGGATCTGGGTAATGGGATGGGGACAAAACAGGAGTAGGATCTGGATAGAGGGATGGGGACAAAACAGGAGTAGGATCTGGATAGAGGGATGGGGACAAAACAGGAGTAGGATCTGGATAGAGGGATGGGGACAAAAGAGGAGTAGGATCTGGATAGAGCGATGGGGACAAAACAGGAGTAGGATCTTGGTAAAGGGATGGGGACAAAACAGGAGCAGGATCTGGATAAAGGAATGGGAACAAAACAGGAGTAGGATCTGGATAAAGTGATGAGAGAGCGGGTTGTTAGGTTTCGCAGTAAAAAAATCACGTCTGTGCAGGATCAAAGATGCTCAGCACTGAGGCACATTTGGTCACACATGGCAACCTCAAGACTTTATCTGGTGCTGATTGGTTGAGGGGGGAATGATGTCATAAAGCAGATGAAAGCCAATAGGATTCCCAGAAGCCATGTGTAACAAGGGACACTTGGACACCTGCAGGAAGGCTAGAGCAGCCTTACATGGCTGCAATCTGGGCAGCTGAAAGCACACAACCCAGACATGACAGTCTCTAGTCCCAGACCCTTAGTTCAGGAAGAGTGTCACGTGTTTCACACAAGTGGTCATTAACAAAGTCATTTATTATTGACACATGATTTTCACATTTCAACAGATAAAAATGTATTTATATGCACAGATGATGTCCTTGGTGAGCATCTTAGATACTGTTTTACTGCTGTGAAGAGCCACCACAGCCAAGACTACTCCAGGTGGAGCTCCAGGAGTCCAGTTGGTGAGAGAGAGGAGGGATTATATGAGTAAGAGATATCGGGACTATGATTGGATAAAGCACAGGGACAAATATCCAAACTAGTGGAAACACATAAACTGTGAACCAATAGCTGAGGAGGCCCCATGAAAATGGACCAGGCCCTCTGGATAAGTGAGACAGTTGATGAACTTGAACTGTTTAGGAGGCCCCCAGGCAGTGGGACCAGGACCTGTCCTCAGTGCAGAAGCTGGCTTTTTGGAACCTAGGGCCTATGCTGAGACATTTTGCTCAGCCTTGGCGCAGGGAGGAGGAGACTGGACTTGCCTCAACTGAATCTACCAGGCTGAGCTGATTCCCCAGGGGATACCTTGCCTGGGAGGAGGTGGGAATGGGAGGTGGATAGGAGGGGGGAAAGTTGGGGGTTGAGAGGAGGGAGGACAGGGGAATCATGACTGATAAAAAAACTTAAATTATAAAATAAAAATATTTGCCGGGCGGTGGTGGCGCACGCCTTTAATCCCAGCACTCGGGAGGCAGAGCCAGGCGGATCTCTGTGAGTTCGAGGCCAGCCTGGGCTACCAAGTGAGTCCCAGGAAAGGCGCAAAGCTACACAGAGAAACCCTGTCTCGAAAAACCAAAAAAAAAAAAAAAAAAAAAAAAAAAAAAATAAAAATATTTATTAAAAAATACCTCATCTTTAGTGAAGTATACCACACCTAGAAAGACAAATATGGTATATACTAGCTTATATGTAAATATTAGCTGTTAAGACAATCATAATCATAACCAAGCAAAAATCCATATAACCACAAAGGTTTGTTATAGAGTAAAGGACTGAATACAGGTAGATCTCTCTAGGAAAGGGAAATAGAACAGTTATGGATAGATGGGAGGGGGCGCTGGAAGTGGAGGATCATGGAGAGGAGAAGGGAAGAAGATAAGGAAGGAAATACATGGAGAGAGCTAAAACTAACAGCCATCTGAACGGGTAGTATAGAAATATGACAGAGAAAAAGATTCCTAAAATATATACATACATACAGATGATCTACATGAAATTACCAAATACTGGGGAGACAGAACTCAAACTGGACGTCTCTTGTCACCAAATGAAGCTTTCAATACCAGGATTGGGTTACATCTAATTGAGCTGCTGGCCAAAGGGGTTCTTGTGAATCTCCAAATAACTGAGATTATTGCCAGGGCTATAGGTTGTCATCCACAAACTGACAGCAGACATCAACTGTTGAGGAGAACACCAACAATTCATTGAACATGAACCCAGAGAAGTCAAACTAGTGCCTACATACAGCCTTCACACCTATAGTCTAGCATCTTTGGTACAAGGAGGTACTCTACCAAAGGAGAAACATAAGCAGTAACACAGCCATGAACCCCTTGATCTACAATGGTGTTCTGCCAACAAAATATACTTAGTGCAATGGTGCTACAAATCTTGTGGGAGTAAGCAACCAATATCTTATTGGACTTAAGGCCCACACCATGATATAGAACACATACTGGACACTGGTTGGATAAGCAAGAACCTGAGACTAGATAGGTCAGGGATCTAGTATGAAACCAAATAACACCTTTCCAAATGAAACAAACATAGCAAGAAAAACCTCCTAATGATATTCCACATACTCAGAGTATGGCATACTCAAATGTATCTATGGCTTATCTATGACATACTCATAGTTAACTGCTCAGTCATCAAGAGGACTTTCCCCAGTGGACAATAGTTTTAGGTGCAGAGAGCTACAGTCAGGCACTATGCAGAGAGTGAAAGAATTTAGATTGCTTAGCTTAGAACAGATGTCTCTATCAAATCCTTCCCCTCAGGCCTCAGGGGGTGTTTTGAAAGAGGAAGCAGATAGAGTGTGGGACCACGGATAGATGGAGAAAACCAAGAGTACAGGTTCTCTAAATCAAGAATATTGATGCACAATTGAATTTCACAAGGAATGTGGCAGCATGCACAGGGCCTGCATGAGTCTACACCAAATTGGGTCCTAGACCTGAAAAGAAATCTGGACACATAACCCTATCCATAACCCAGAAGCTATTTCCAGTTGATAACTAATTGCAAGTGAAAATTTAGTTTTCTCCAATTGTAGTTGGGGGCTTCCTTGTGTCTCACCTGGTCTGCAGCCACTCGGACCCAAATAAATGCACAGAGACATATTAATTATGAACTCTATGACCATTAGCTCAGACTTATTACTGACAAGCTCTTACACTTAAATTAACCCATAATTCTTTTAGTTTTGTTTTGCCATGTAGCTTGGTACCTTTTCTCAGTTCTGCCTTGTCATCTTGCTTCCTCTGTGTCTGGCTGGTGACTCCTGACTCAACCCTTCCTTCTCCCAGAATTCTCCTCCTCTGTTTGCCCCACCTATACTTTCTGCCTTACTATTGACCAATCAGCATTTTATTAAACCAGTGTACAAAAGCAATATCCCACAGCATTTCCCCTTCTCTGTGTAATCAAAAAGAAACATTTTTAATTTTAACATAGTAAAATTACATATAATAGAACTGTTATCAAGCAAGAATTATAGTTACAATATCTAGTCTATTTGTATTTGGCAAAATTAAGGAAAATATTCTATCATCTATCCTATATTTGTGAGTCTAAAGTTTCATATCCAATTTATCTTTTATCATAGCCAATCAACTACATCAAAGACCTCAGAAAGATATAATATTACCTAAATAAATAGGAAGTACCATTTTAAGCAACTTCTAAAAATTCTGGAAATGACAGAGACATCTGCCTGCCTGTATAGTCCTTCAAAGTTCCTCTGCAATATTGGGCATCTTTCTTCAGCCTATAGGCCTAGAGTTTCTTAGTTGCTTCTCTCTGTGTCCTGTAGAATATCTGGCAGTTTCTTCTGCAAAGCAGGAACCTGAAGGACCATCGCACCTTGTAATGTTCAGTGGTCACCTTCCTATGGGTATTGCATGTCCAGTTTATACAACATATATTCAGTTAGTCAATGCAAAGGGCATTTTTTTGCCCAGTTGTTAATTTTTGTGACAAAGAAAGCAAACTCCATAATGAGTTTCTTCAATGCCCATTATCTTCTTTGTAGTAGATTGGTGCAGCCAGAAGCAGACATGTCTCAATGTCCAGAAAGTCAAACTTCTTAAAATATTTTAAATGACATATTCTGTATGTTTTTGAAGTGTTTGAAGATTACTTACCTAAGTGAAGTATATCTATATATACCTAGAAAAAATAACTAACATGACTATAAATTTGATTATCATAGATGACTAATTACTAATCTGTATTTCTCAACTATATACTACAATTTCAAATGAGTTGCACAAACAAAATACTTTAAACAAGAGTAGTAATATGCATAGAGTATAACAAAATTAAATTTGTATCAATAAACTAAAATCCATAGCAATATAAAACATTTTTAAACAAGTTGTTGCTCTTTAAAAGTAGAGTCAACAATCTACTCTTTCATCCTATCATATCTATATCCTATATTTCTATATCATACTCCCTTTCTTATTTTAGAAAGAAGTTGACTATGACCAATAACAATTTGTAATCAACAACCTAAACAATGACAAACATCTAATATCCATTTTTTGGGAATGTGGGCTGTAGCTAGAGTTTTCCTGCCTTGCCCACAGTCAGGACAAATCTCTGTCACCCGCCAGTCCCACAGCTTCTCAGACCCAACCAAGTAAGCACAGAGACTTATATTGCTTACAAACTGTATGGCCATGGCAGGCTTCTTGCTAACTGTTCTTATATCTTAAATTAATCCATTTCTATAAATCTATACCTTGCCATGTGGCTCATGGCTTACCAGTATCTTCACATGCTGCTTGTTGTGGCGGTGGCTGGCAGTGTCTCTCAGCCTTCTGCTTCCCAGAATTCTCCTCTCTCCTTGTCCCGCCTATACTTCCTGCCTGGCCACTGGCCAATCAGTGTTTTATTTATACAGAAAGATATTTACAGCAGTGGGCATAGTTTTCTAGGCTGCTTCCTGCTCATAGGGGGTGCTGGTAGTCTTATGGGGATCCTGAGAAAACTAAGATTTATGCTCAAGTTCTAACTAGAATAGTCTGTGACACTGTATTCTCTGAGCCTGTTGCCTTGAAACTGTTCTGGATGTTGGATCATCATCTGGAGACCTCTCAGGGGGGTCTTCCTTGACCAGGAAGTGTTTGGAGATTACTTACCTAAGTGAAGTATATCTATGTATACCTAGAAAAATTAATTAACATGACTATAAATTTGATTATCATAGATGACTGGAAGCAATCCACAGGTTCTCATCTTCTGTGGAAACAAAAGCAGAACCTCTTTTCCAAAGCAACATATCTTTAGACATAAATTTTGAAATCAAGATATCTTTAAAATATACATATTGATTTAACTCAGCAGCTTTTACCATCAAATGTCTCTCTGCAGTTAAAAATCCCAAAGACAATATAATCTA